GCTGACACAGAAGAGCGTACGTAGCCAGCTGAGCAAACGCCCTAAAATATACATCTGCCAGACGCAAAAAACGACATCGCACAGACGTCTCTGCGACGTGTGTGTGCTATCTGGGTGTAGGCTATCATAAATGCACACAATTAAATATTTCAATTTGACTGGAAATAATAACACACAAATACAAATATTGTTCAAAAGTAGTACTAACTTGCTTTTTTAGTTTTCTCCACACACATCTGTCATTTCATCTCAAGCACTGTTCACTCACTGACACCACTGTCTCCTTGGTAAATAAATAAATGAACTTCATATTAAACCTCATTAGGTCCAAAACTGTTGGTCATGGAGAAAACAATGCAACAGCTGGTTGCATTTTTAACTTTTTAAATCATTTGTACACAATAAATGTTTCTGTCATTCAGAAACATGGCTTTTCATATCACTGCTATGCTGACGACATCCTGATGATCCGAGGATAGCTGTTCGCATCTCAGCTTGTCTAACAGACACTTCTTGCTGAATAATCAAATGTGAACAAAATATTGCAGCACTTTAAAGTTACAGCAACTAAATTCAGTCATTTCATTTCTTGCTGGATGAAGGACCATCACCTTTAACTCAACCTTGCCAAGACAGAACTGCTTGTGGTTCCAGCAAACCCATCGTTTCATCACAATTTCACCATCCAGTTAGGCACATCAACTATAACTCCTTCAAAAACAGACAGAAACCTCGGAGTTGTGATTGATGATCAGCTGACTTTCTCAGACCACATTGCAAAAACTGCCCGGTCCTGCAGATATGCTTTATACAACATCAGGAAGATCAGGCCCTTTCTTTCGGAACATGCTTCATAACTCCTTGTTCAAGCTCTTGTTCTGTCCAGGCTGGACTATTGCAATGCTCTCTTGGCAGGTGTTCCAGCCAATTCCATAATTTCCTAGTTTCGATTCCAATAAGATAAAAAAAAATCCAATATAAAAAAATTAAGTCAAACATTTATTCTGTGTCTTTTTATAAAGCATTCTGTTGCAGCTGAATAACATGAGCAAAAATCAGCAGCCTACAGAACCCCTAAACCCCCTGGTTTACACTTCTGTTAAAATGGCACTTTTTATGTAATGCTACAGTAAGCACAGCTGTTCAGAAGTTGTGGGCATGCTTTCTTCTCACAAAAAGAATGTGAAACATTAACATGAGTTAGAGTTTTCAGATTTTAAATATACCTACATATAATTTAAGTTTATTTTACACACTTTAAGCATTATTAAATTGCATATCTAATATCGAATTATTTAACAAGTTATCGAATTCGCATAATGCATTTTTCTTCAATTTCGTGTAGCCCTAGGTTTTGGCATACAAAAATACGATGCGTTGCATCACGCCGTGCCGCATAAATATAAAACCATGTCTGCATTTGTGATCGGAGAAATGACAAACAACAAGCGCTACTGGACACTGCTCAAAACTCGCGTTTGAATCATCAGTGGCAAATCCTTTAAATATGAAAACGTACTTACAGTCTGTGAG